GTCAAGAGCTCTAATGCAAGAAGTTTACTTAGGAAGTCACAGAGTAGAAGAAATGAGCCAGCTAGACTGCATGGGCTCAGGAAACAAGTTACAGAGGCAAAAGAAGGGCCCTTGGAGCTTAGGAGAAGGAAAGCAAAAGTATGTGCCTGAGAAAGAAGGCACAGGCATGTGGGAGAGATAAAGGAGGGGCGGGGGGATGGGTCCTATATCTTAAGGGTTTTTATCTGTTTTCTAAAGGTGGGGACTTTAGGGGTGGTCTCAGGGGAGAATCTCAATAAAATATTCATCAGCTTTCCAGGGTGGTCACCTCTGATTGGTCAGCACTAGGATAGGGAGTCACTAGTCATTGCATCTGGTCCTGATGTCAGCCATGGCCTTGCTTCATCCAGATTTGCTGCTTTTCTGGACCTGGAGCCAAAACACAGCTGAGGCCTAGATGTTATCTCTAGTTTCACCAACACTCGGTCTCTGTGGTCAACAGACCCAAGGTTTTGTTTCTAAGATTATTTGATGTGGTCAGGACCTCATGGTCCTGAGGGCTTAATGCTCAAGGGAGTGGTCATGCAAGGGCTTCGTAGGGAGTCCTATGAAGTTATTCTCAGACACCTTGTTTGTCCTCTAGGAGGGTCTAAACCACATGACTAATGACACACTAGGGGAGGAAAGGTCCTAGCCTATAATAGTTGTTTTCTCTAGTTTTTCCCATTGCTAGGCACCTGGCACATTATGTCCTGGTGACGTTCTGTACCTGGCCTATATATAGTTCCTGCTCTGCTCATTCCTGTCTAACTGCCTACTCCATCAGCAGCACCAGAATTCAGGATTTCATTCTCCATTTAACCTCTTACTGATTAGTTGGTAGGCCTTGCTGAATAAGGGATAGATGGGAGGAAACATGAAAACAAACCAGATTGTCTTCAAGGAGCTTATCTTGGGAGAGGGTTTGAGGAACATCAATTAGGTGGGGAGGAAGGGTCACCCTAAGCAAAGGACAGCTAGGAGGCCGTGGGAGTTGAGGTGAAGGGGAGATTAGTTTTAGCGGGAGCTTGGCAGAGAAGAGGTGGCATTTGATCTGGATCTGGAGGGCAGTGTAGGATTTGGACATGCTGGGAAAAGGAATTCCGGACATGAAGGCACAGTGGGGGAAAGGCCCAGGGATGTTCAAGAAGGAGTTGAGCCTTGTGGGAGAGGTAAGGAGGGTGATAGTGGGAGACAGAAGAGGAAAGAAAGGCTGCCGCGGGCCTGGGGAAGGCTTTGACCTTCTTGTACAGGCCTCCTAACTGCAGAGCCCAGGGCCAGAGCAGCCACAGGTCTGAGAAGCAGGGCACAGAGAATTTCAAGGACATCGTTTCCACTCTTTGGGGCTGTTCGTATGGAAAATAATAAATAAGTAATTACACAATAATGAACTCTGTTTCATGTACTCACAGCTGTAAACCTACTTTTGCCCCACTCTATATGTTTAATTCATTCCATGAGCCTCAGTGAGCACTACTCTGTGTCAGCCTCCCAGTCATGTGGTGAGCAAGACAGGCCTTGCCCTCATAGATAGTCTAGTGGTACAGACAGACAATTACACATTTTCTTAAAGGCAGCCTTCCTCGTTGTGTAAGCTTCAGGCCCCATGGAACTTGGATGTGCCTGGAGCTATGAGATTGAGCAGTGATTTTCAGCTGGTCTGCAGGCAAGAATTTTTAAGACATGCAATACCTGACCCCTTTTCCTTTACGTTGTCTAATAAAACAAACGACAACAGCCAACACAACAAGAGCTCTCTGGTGTGAAAGAATCAAAACTATACCTATGTTTGTTTTTTATCAGATCAACAAAAGATGCAATGTTTTTTGGCATGTCGCAGACTTTCAGTAATTAGTTTATGTGTGCCATGACATGAAAAGGTTGGAAATCGCAGAGATGGAGGGTAAGGAGATAGGGAGGAAGCCTGCTGACATGGACAGTCCACCCTGAATCTCACCCGTGTGCGTCTCAGTACAGCCGGTTGCACCCATTCCCCACAAACTCTGACCTTGTCACCTGGTACTCCACATTCCTGAAGCACAGGAATTCTCCCTCTTCCTCGAGTGGCTGAACCTCAGTCACACTGCCCGCCTCTCGGTTTCTCCAAATTCTTTCCCGGCTCAAGGCCTCTCACATGCCATTGCTGGAAGCTGTCCCCTCAGCTTCTCACATCGCAGGCTCCTTCTAATGTTTTCTGGTCGCAGATGAAATGTCACCTCTGTCACGACTGGAAGTGCCTCGCGGCCTTGCTGATACCTGGAATTGTCAGACCACTGGCCACAGCAACGCAGACTTCTAACTTTTTCAGGTCTAATTTTACAGGCCAGATTATTAAGAAACTTGCAGGACATAGTAAATAAGGCCTTTGAACTTTGTTCTAAATGTGATTGCAGCCATTGGAGGGCTTTGAGCAGGAAATGACACAAGCAGATTCATGTTCTACAGTGACCCTGCTGGCTGCTGCATGGAGACTGAACTGTAAGGGGCTAGAGGTCAGCTAGAAGGAGAGAGGTTATGGTGCTTTGGATCATGGTGGTAGGCACAGGGAGGGAAGTTGTCAGATTCAGAGTACATTTCAAAGGTTGAGTCACAAGAATTTGCTGATGGATTGGATGTGAAAGAAAGAGAGAAATAAACTAAGTTTTCCTCACCATTCCCTTCATTCTCTATTTCTGAAACTCCAACTGGGTGTTTATCAGATCCTCTTAATCCATCTGCCATGTTCGTTTGTTTTTTTAATCCTCACCTGAGGATATGTTTCCATTAATTTTTTAGAGAGAGAGGAAGAAGGGGGTGGAGAGAGAGAGAAAGGAACATTGATGTGAGAAAGAAACCTTGATTAGTTGCCTCTGGTATATACCCTGAGGCCCTGACCAGGGATCAAAATCTCAACCTAGGTATGCGGCCTGACTGGGCTGCTAGGTTGCTAGGTCATATACTTGCAACCACCCAGCTTGGACCCCAGCCTTGTTCACACCCAGGAGTACTGGTGTACCTCCCACCAAGGACACGGATGCCAGGTTCTGCCACATCCTTCTGCTGTCACACACATCGCAGCCTCTGGTTGTTCCAGGAAGAAGCTGGTGTATACCTAGTCAATAGCTTCAAGCCCCCTCGGTCTGAGAGTCACTGTCCCTCTGATGTCTGATGTCTGGCTGCTGCACCTCTGGGTGCTGCCCTAGGAGAAAAGGGTCATGGGGGCCTTCACATGCCCTCTTGTTCCTCTCTGTGAGCTCCCAGTGGGTGCTGATCTTTGGGCCTCTGCATGTGCTGCTTGGCCATTGCCCTAGTTTGCACGGCAGACGTTATGCCTTCATTTCTCTCTGGAACATCCTCACTGTACTTCTGTATATCTATTATGCTGCTTCCTAGAATTAATGTCATCTGGATTGCTTCATGTTCAGATTGCGAATGTTTTTGTCTGTTATGCTTAGCCCCTGATTTCTTCATGTGTTTTGTAATTTTAAATATGCAGGTTCATTTTGAATGGGATGATTTTGGATTTTTTTTTTCTTCCCGTATGTCCAACTCCGCCTGCCTAGGGTTGCTCCTCTTGGCCCCCTGAACCCTTTGCTTGGAAACAGTCCTTATGCTGTTGGCTGGTGGCTGGTGATTGGAGATAATGTATCTCTTGGTTTTCCCTTTTTATATTTTTCCTGCCGTTGCAATGTGTTTGGAGCAGCTGGGGTGCAACAAAACCAGACCCATTGTGCTATCCTGACCTAGCAGATAGTCTTTTAATCCAGGGTGGGCACTTAACTCTCAAGCTGTGGCTCTGAAAACCTCATTGATAAGGCTTCTTCCAGAGCAACCACGCCCTCTGGTGGCAGGTAGGGATATGGCTGGCAAAGAGCCACCCAGAGGGCCAGGGGCATGACCACTTGTCTCCTTCTGTGGACTCAGAGCTGGAAGCAATCCGAGACCACGAGACCAACCTCCCACACAGTATGGCGTCTCATTTCCAAGACACCCAGAAGATGGTCAAGGTCAGTTCCCTGTCCAGCAACCCACTCCATGTCTGGACAGCTGTTTTTAAGGAGTCGTTCTGTATTGAGCAATTAAGTTTCTCCCTGTAGCTCTCACCCACGGGCCCCCTCCCTGTTTCTCTCAGCTGTTTGAGGGCAGCATTAGACTTCTCTTCTCCTGGCTCCCTCCTTCCGCCTCCCCATCCAGTCCGCTGCTTTGTTCTGCATGAACTCTGGGATATCACGAGAACTTTGTAAACACGGCTTTATTTTGACCAGGGTGGAGAAAGACTCCGTTTGGCTCCTGAGAGGGTGCTGCCTCCTCAGGCCTCTAAGTGGAGGAAGAGGAACAGGTCCCTTCACATCTTCTGGTCTCAGCTTAAGAATTCTCCCTGGTAGGTAACCGGGTGCGGCATGTTTCACACGGAAGCATCTCCCTCTAGTGGCAACCAGGGTGTATTTCAAGATGTTTTTCTCCCTTCCCGAGCTCTTTGCTCCAGAATTTCATTACAGCTCAAGAAGGTCACCCCAATAAATTAAAAAAGAAAAAAGAAAGAAGATCCACTGAGAAGTAGGTGGGAGAGCTGTAAATTGCAAAGCTCCCCATCTGGCTTTCTGATTAAAATGAATTGATTTTGCAGTGGTGACTGGTGAGAGAGAGCGAGAGCGAGAGTGTGAGCGAGCGAGCTTGGCTTCAATTTCCATGTTTCTCATAAGTTTTCCAAGCTAAAATGTGCAAATGGTTATACACATGTCAATTCGTCTTGTTCCCAGAAACGCCAGGATAGTTGTTCTTTTAGGTGGTTCCCTTATTAATTGGCTCCTTTTATTATTTTCTCTGTCCGTCTCTACTTGCTAACCGTGTGAGTGGAGTTCTTTTAGTTGCAGTAAACAGACTTTTTCAGACCAGTGGAGGGAAGTTAAGGAGGAAGTGGCACAACCGGGAGAAAGAACGCCCACAGAGGTCACACTGGAGCAGGAGCCCAGATCTTGTCTGGTTGTCCCCAACAAGGTACCCGCCTTCTCTCTACAGGTCTCCATTCTCTGCTTGCAGCTGACCAGCTCCCTTGCCTGGAATTCCCGCTTGCCTTTTCTCTCCATCACAGCTTCTGCTGATTCATAATTTAGATTTATCCTTAGCTCATTGTGGTCCCTCTGGCACCTCTCGACTCTCTTCACCTCAAGACATATCAGCGTTGGCGCCTGCCACCAACTGCCTTATTTGTTGTGAGTGGCATTTCCCAGTTCTGTTTCCTGAGACAGAAATCTAACACCACCCCCACCTCCTTTTTTAAAAAATGTTAGGCCACATCAACAGTCTCTGGCCAGCCAGTGAATTGGCCCTTTGGGGTCTGCTTCCTGTTGCAATCATCTGGGCAGGGGAGAGAGCGCAGGCCCAGGGCAGGCAGCTCCCTTCGGAAGGGCAGGGGAGTGTGGCTCACCATAGGGCTGTCCCACTGGAAGCTCCTGGGTAGCGGCTGTGAGTGGAGCCCTGCGGGGAGCTGGGTGCTTTGGCCTGCAGTGCAGGGGGCTGGCAGCTCCCACAGAATGGAAGCTTCAGGACATCTCTTGGTGGGATCCATCCTCTCCATCTGTCCTGCTCGTTCCCATTCCCATTGTGTGGCCAGTGTTGAGGGAGGGGGTGGGGGGCACAGAGAACGGCGTGTGTGTCCCTGGGATGGCACCACTAGGAATCACCTTGTGGGCAGGTTGACTGGTTGCTGATGGGGGACTATGTCACCTTAGGCCAGGGGAGATCGGGGGTGGGGTGGCACCCTGTTGCTGGTTGATAGAACAAATTTGATCGAATTTAGAAAAAGGTACCATTTTCTCAAGACACTTCATTGGCATTTTCCAGAAAACTGACATAGCAACCGGACGAACCTGTGATGCCTCGGAGGGAGAGGAGCCCTCGGGAGTGGTGCAGCCTGCCAGCTCGGGAGGTGTCCTTGCAAGAACCGCATGTGGCCGTGGAATAGTGGCTCTCCTACTCAGGGGACATAAATGCATGGGTTTGGGAATATGGAAAACTTTCGGGGGGAGAGTGGAAGAAGATGAGCATTTGTTGAGAACTTCCCACTTACTAGGTGCTATGCTGTTGGACATACAGTATTTGTAATTTTGCATCAAATCTGGGTTGTGACTGTCATTACTCCCATTTTACACTGAAGGACACGGGGCTCAGAGGCGCAGCCAGGGCTGCTGTAAGTGGGACGTGTGCGTTGCTCTAAGAGGTGCTCTTTGCTTTGTGGTTACAGTGGCCAGAGGTGGGGCCAGTAAGTCCCTTGCCCAAGCCACACAGCAAGAGAAGGCAGAGCTGGGATTGGAGGCCATGCTCTTTCTGCTGCACCAATCTTTGGAGACCCCACAGCAGTAAAAAGCAACTGAACTGGTTTGCCCCCTCTCCTTAGATAAAGTTCCATTCGTGTATTCTGAAATCAAATGCAGGAAACATGGAGTTTTATCCAAAATGACAGCAACCTCTCAGAAGGAAAAGTGAGCATCTGCTACGTGTGACACCCACTGCTGTCCCAGGTGTCGGGCTGTTATCAATGAGACCCAGAGTCCACTGAAGTCTGGGCTGGACTGTGACCCGAACCAGGTGGCCTTGGTTGGGATGACGTCAATCTGAAGACTGAATTCAATGCTCAGTTAGAGATGTCCTACCCACAGAAGTTTGGTTTCAGGTCTGGCATGGGACCGAGCATCTCAATTTTTAAAAGCTCCCTGGTGATGCTGATGACAGCCAGGGCCGAGAAGCCCTCAGCAACCAGCCCTTCCTCCTGGGGAGGGAGGGGAAGCCCGGAGGAGGCAGGTGGCTCGCTCAGCACCCAGCTGGTTAGTGTGGCTACTGAGAGTGTGATTTCCATTGGATCCTCTGTTGTGCCTCAGAGGGGCAGGAAAAGGGGAAGCAGGGGAAGGAGAAAGAGGTGGATAACCGTTGGAAGGGAGAGAGATGTCATGCGTGTCTCTTAGGATAGGTGGTGGGGGCAGTGGGGAGGCAGCTAATGGTTCCCTGGGCCTGCTCAGCACGTGCTTACCCACCAGGTCATAGTGAGCTGATCCCTGGAGGATATCACTGTTGTGAGCAGAAACCTGAGTCACTGTTATGACTCAGGCCAGGAAATTGCCTGCTCCTGTTACTAGTGAGGGTGAAAGGCAAAGCTGTTGTAAGACAAACACCTAAGAATACAGCGGCTTAAAGAACCTCAAGGCGGGTGAGGCCCGGAAGGAGGTTTGTTTCTCTCATTCAACAGTGTGGTGAGTAGCTGAGCTCATTTGTCCACAAGGGCAAGCAGGGTCCCAGCACCACCCTGACATCAAACTGCCGACTAAGCTGGGGCCCGGAAA